GGGATTCATGAGCAACTTGGGTATTATGAGGCTCTGATTGCCGAGCTCTGTCTCAAACTTGCTTGCGATGTGGGTATAAAGAAGCTCATTGTTGAAACTGATTTGTTATAGGTTAAGTACCTCCTTCAAAACTCTGACCTATAGGGCTCCAGACATTTCCAATATAGTGATACAAATTATTTTTTTCTTTATACTCAAAGGAAAAGAAAAAAAAAATAGAGATCATGCATTTAGTACAGTATACAACAAAATAAGACCAATCCCAACAATGTGATCCACATGATGCACATTGTTTTCTTACATAATTAAGTGATGTTCAAGGACATCATTAGGTCCACAAATATGTATTTCCTCTGGCAAATTATCGTGCTTAATGGTGCGTATCGATCCTTATCATGATTGGTGTTTTGTTATGGCTTATTACAAGGTTGCAAATTCATTACCTAGCTCCATTTGCTCACAATATGATGAACTTTGGCGGCTCGATTTACCTATAATTAGTTGCTCTTGATCTCACATGGATATATATGTATATATATACCATAATTTTTTGCTTCTCAAGAAGACCATTTTGTTCTGTCTATAATTTTTTGCTTCTATTTTCCGAACATTCATGTATACTAATGGTCTTGTGGGTCTAAAAATTGGCATATATATATATATGTAGGTTCTTGTACAGCAGCATATGTATACTGCTCGTGAGTTAAAAATAATGAGTAACTATTTAATAGCGAAATGGGCTAGCTTCCCTAGTTGTTCAACTTCTTTTGCCAGTTCTTCAACCTTGTCTATAATCTCCATAAATGAGAACAGAAAGCTTGCCACTGCAAATCCATCAGCATTCTCGAATTGCCCGAGTCTTGAACTCGACATCATCTGACTCAGCTCTTCTCTCATAGTTTCCAGCTTGGGTAATAACAAAATCTCTGAGTGGCATCTTCTCGTCTTCTTTAAGCTCTCTCCGAGCTCTCTTAAAATCCATGCAAGTGATCTCCCAACTCCCTCACATGGTTCTTTGATCAACTCTCTCCGACTCTGATCACTTGACTGATTACATAATTATTAATTAAAAAAATCAGCCAAATTAAAATTTAATCGGATCCCAGAAAATAAATTAACTGTTATATACCTCTCTTGAAGATTGAAGGGAGGGTTTAAGTGAAATAATGGTTGTAGCTATGTCTCTAAGAAGCTCTGCAATTGTTAAGTACTTGTCCCAAGGGTGAAAAAGCCCAAATTTTCCATGCCATGGTTCCCATCTTGCAAAATTTGCCTACAATACCACATTATTTATACACACTTAATTAATAGAATTTTGTAAACATAATTGCTAATTATTATATAATCCAAATAACCCACTTAATTAATTTGAGTAATTAACAGATATATATATATATGTATATACCAGCAGTTCATCCTTGGACTTTGAATGCAACACGGACTTGCAACTACTGAAACTAAATTCAGGCCGGCTTTCCTTATCTCCGGTGAATGCAAAATACTCCTCCGTAAATCCTGTATTTATTTCAGAAAGTCCTTTAAATTTTTATTGAGAAATTCAAGGAAGAAATACACCTGAAATATTTACATTGATTTAATTATATACAGACCTTGAATAGAAGCAGCAAGATCACTGAATCTGGAGGCGACAGAATCATGAAGCTCATCGCTAGACCAAATAGGGAAGACGAGCAAACTAACGAAAATGCATATTGCAAAACCTATGACGATGGTTGAGAGACGCTCACGGGCCAATTGCACAACCTTGTCTGCTCGTATGCCGGACACCGCGACCAGATTGAAGGTTAAGATGAAAATCATCGCTCCATAGTCATATCTCTTCTTGATGCTCGGAATTAACCTAGCATAGGTTGCAGCCGTGCCTGAAATATTTTACAAGTAATTATCAACTACTTATAATATATATATATATATATATATATGAATCAAAACATATACCTATTCAGGAATAATAAATGTATGTGGTAAATCTGAAACAATCTTGGGTAATTAGAGGATCATTAATATATAATTAACCATTGTTGCAGATCACTTAACATGAATATTTCTGATCATGAAAAGGTTAGAGACATGGTGGAGAAATCTCTTTATGTCTACTGCCACTAGAATAATGAAATAACAATATTATAAAAAAGGACAAGAATATATACGCACACATATATAATATTTTGTTGTACAGAAGAAAAACATAATTAATTGATGGCGGCCCTCCAAAGTTTTCAAAGCACTTTCTCCCTGAAAACCCACTAAATTTTGGATTTAGTACACGTGCAATCCCTCTTTTTTCTTATGTTCTGATTAATTATATTTTCCATGATACCTAAATTATGATGGTAACAATCGACATCATCAATACCTAAATTAATCGTAGTGCTTAAAAAGAATTGGAGCATGAAATTAATTTTGTCTGCAAATATTTCGATCGTCTTTAAAATTTTCTAGAAACCAAACACTTTTTCTAAAGGGATTTGATTAATTTTAGTTGGTGCATCCACGAGTAAAACGTAAAGAATAGTGAGCTACTCCCCAAACTTTTGGAACACAGAGAATTAATTTCATTTTTAGAAAGTAATATACATGTACATATATTCTAATATTACTATGAGCACAAAGATACTTATAATATATACATGGGTTAGTGGATATATATATATATGTATATGTATATTTTGAAGAAATGTACGAGTGTATATTTGAAATTTTTGATGAGTATAGATGGATATATTATCTTACCAAAAATGAAGACGGAAGTGCCGATAATAATAGCATGGCCAACTCCACCAACTTCTTCAGCAAAAACTGCTGCTAAACATCCCAATCCACCTCCTAGTATGGTTCCAATCCCACGGTTTAAGCCCTTGCTGAGTGTAGCACCTATATATATATATATATGTGTACAATAGTTACATCAAAATTAATTAATAAAATGTTGATTGGCAAAACAAATTAAGCTATTACGTACAGTACATGTGAAAAACCTTAGACAAGAGAAAAAGAAAAACCTGCATAGAACTCAAAGACGACAACAACAGTCATTATAGCCCACATGGCATTGTCTCCAACTTGCTCGTAAAGAGGATCGAGTAGATAGAGAAGAGAAACTAAAACGAGAGCAACTCCAACTTTGATGCTATGTCTAACTCTTCTCTTGTCATTTTTCACGGGAAAAGAAACCATGCAAAGAATCCTCCGAGAAAATTTTGATTTCTTATTTTCTCTAACGGGTACTTCCTGATTATCTCCTTCTGGCATAGCTATCACCGTTGAACCCATGTTGGACACAATCTCGTTCTTCCTTACAAGCTCTCAAATTCACTTTATACTTGACAAGTTTGGTAGGAGACAATGCCAGATATATATAATAATGCACTTGTAGTGATGTGTACATATAAAGTGATAAGATATTCTCTCTCTCTCTCTCTCTCTCTCTCTCTCTCCTCTCTCTCTCTATATGTATATATATATATATTATACAGTTGCGGGTGAGGAGCTCCAAAGTGGACACACGCCTGCTCATCTCTCTCTATCTAAATATCAAAATCTTTTAAAAGGCACGAGCCATTTTCAAACACTTTTTTTTTTTTTTTTTGTGGGGGGGGGATGTGCATATGTGTTAGCTTATCTCAATTTTCTGGTTCGTTTATTCATTAGTGACCCTCTAGTGGACATGCTTGGAAGGCACAATGTACCTCAAGATAGGCACAACGGTCTTTTCGCAGCATATATTTTTCCAATGGGTCTTTTCCATCGATCAATCATATTATGAAAATACTTATAATTAGACCGAACCAGATATGGTAATGCCTTGTATGCATGAGATAATATATATTGTTTTCATCGTGTGTATGGGTTTTGTATAGAATTCCACTATGAAGTGTATGCATCTGCCATATATCCCAAGACAGCAGCATTTGTGTTGGGTTCAATTTCTCTTTACTCGTTTCATGCATGCTAATAAATTTTACGGCTGATATTTATCAGTAAAACACTTCACGATTCTAGTTTGTTTGATTGAGTTGATGTGTGTGCGTGAATTATCAAATTCTATAATAAATGTTGAAGCTGGTTGGTAATTATAGAGGCGTAAGCAAGTAAGTAAGTGGGTTTGAACATTGAACACAAGTCAAAAAAGTAAAACACAAATCGTATAAGTAAAAGGAAGATGAAAAAAGATAAGTAGGTTGAAACTCTGGTAATTAATATTTATTGATGTTCATCTGTAATGGAGAATGTCGCGTTTTGCCACTTTCCATTGTCTGTTGCGCGACCATATTCAGTATTCCTTATAAAATTCTATTGGCCATATACTTTTACTAACATCACTAACAAAATCAAATATATATATATATATATATCAGGAATCTTCTTTTTTGAATATTTTGCATATGCATAATGTGTGTATAGCATATTATGATCAGAATATTCGTACCATCTTTTTATCTTCACCCCAAGATTTTTTGTCTGCAATATGAAACTCTGTAACAAATGTTATCAACACTTCATAGGTAATAAATCACAAAAACTGGAGTGTGTTTCTGGTATTTTGCTTTACCACTTTTTCCAATCTTTCAAGGTGAAGATTATGTTAATTAAAAATTAAAAGCAAATTAAAAACACAATTTGTTTCTTTAATACAAAAATGGGAGAAAAAAAAGAAGATACAAATCAAACAGTCAGGCTAGACCGGACATTGTGACACGCAAAATCTAATTAATACTTTAAAAGTTTAAAGAATATATATATATATATAGAGAGAGAGAGAGAGAGAGACTGTTAATTGCTTGAACATAATAAATATTTCATTAATTAGGATCGTTCCCTGCAATTTCTTCTACTTTTTACGGAGGAAAAGAACTAATATTTTACATTATAAATGAATAATGTATATATATACCTTCACCTGATAGTCGATAAGACACACAATTTCTCATCATATTATTTTAATACGCAGTTGGTCCACAAAATATACATATACACATATTAAAATTTATCATACAATTTATCATCCCATGTAATATATATAATAATTATATATACAGAATATGATGTTAAAATTTAAAGTTTAACAAAACAAAACGAAAATTTTTCGAATATATACAAAATATATAAAATAGTAACCTTTTTTACAGGGTCTACACGTCTGACAGCGGTTCTGACTCTTCTTTCTCATCTGAAAAATCATTGTGTAATTTAATGAGTTTCGCAAACTTAATAAGTATTTCCGTCCTCTTAACCCAGATAAGATTTCATGCAAAACACACAGTATAAGATAAATGCAATAGTGATATTTCAATGTAAAATTCATTTATTATTTTTTCCACTTAATATGTTTCTGATCGAATTTATGAATTCTATCGAATATCATGTACATTCCTCAAATATATATCCACATACACTGAAAGAATATAGATATACTCGAAATATCAACCATCATCTCGAAACATAATCACATACATATGAAAGATTATATATACATTCGAAAGTTCATTTCTAAAGTTTTATCACGCGATACCGTTTATGTCGTCATCGAATAGAGGCAAAATAGATCTCTCTATCGCATAAATGACACACACATACAAAATTTTACAATAGCCACAGCAGGTACATTTGTTAGGTGATCCACATTTACAAATACTTATTCACGTCTGAATTAGATTTCAAATTTTAGGTACATTTGCTAGGTGATCCACATTTACAAATACTTATCCACGTCTGCATTAGATTTCAAATTTTAGGTACATTTGCTAGGTGATCCACATTTACAAATACTTATCCACGTCTGAATTAGATTTCAAATTTTATCCATGTGCAGGTTCACCATACCTGCTTAACCTTAGCCACACACACACACACTGCCCTCCTTAATTCAGACTAAATGAAAGAGCATTCAAGGTCCATATTCTAATTATTCACAACTCCTCATTTCTGATTTTTTATTTATTTTACTCTTATTCTAATTTCTCTGAAATTTATTTAACTAATCATTTCACAACTATAATTCTTTCTTTTCTTTTCTATTTTTACATTATTATTTTATTTCATTTTTTTTTCAAATTTTCACTTAATTAGAAATTTCTCTTAATTTCTAAATTCACATCTCATCACAATCCAATTAATTCTCAGTCTTTTAGGTCTGTTTTATGGTTTTGTCTCCTCATAAATTTTTAGTTTCTTAAGTTCACAAGTCAGTATCCGTTTAAATTTTAAAATACCATAATTTAATGAAATACATGCAATTTTCGAAATTCAAATCCAGTTGAGAATTAGAAATACTTACACTCCTACACGTCTTCCCGGATCTGTCTGAATGTCCTAATTTTCCCATACACACAATATAAATTAATTAATACTTTGAAATACTAAAAATTAATTAACTCAAATCACGGGTTCCATGATCATCAAACAGAATACTCGAAATTATCAGGATTCATACTCAAAAAAATCTTTCAGCTTCCTGTTTGGCGAATTGGATTTTCATTTTTGATGAAGACTTTTCAACTTTCTGAACAACAAATCGGAATTCCAAAAGGCAATTCTGGCCTCCATTCCCACGGAAGACCCTTCGGTTTCCACAGTGGGTGGTGTTTCCCATTCCCGAGGGAACCTCCTCGGTTCCCACACGGGTGGGTGGCCCGGCCGAGCCCTTGCAGCCAGCCTAACACCAGTTCTGCCGCTGCTCAAACCATCACCAAAACACAAAAACAGAACGGTTTTACCTTCAATGTGAGCGATCGACCTCAGCTTGGCTCTCGGTTGTCTTCTCTCGGTTACCTTGCGACTCTTTAGCTTGTTTGAGATTCAGATGGTGATTTCTTAAACCTTTGCTCACGTCAATCTCTGTCTTCGCACGACATTTCGGTCGTTTTCCTTCCCTTCTTCTTCATTTTGGCTTCAAACTCCACTACTCAAAGCCTCCGCCACTCTCTCTCTTCTTTTCTTCCTTTTATGGCAATTGTTCTTGGCTCTTTCTACCTTCTCCGCTCGGTCACGCCTTTTTCTTCCCTTTTTCTCTTTTCCCTCATTCCTTTCCGAACTCTCTCTTCCTTTCCTCTCTATTTTCTCTCTCTCGACTTCGCCACGCGAGAATCCTCTTCTTCCTTCTCTCCCCAATCGCTCCTCTCTCTTCTTCCTCTCTCTTTTTCGGCTACTCTCTAAATAAAGAAAACTCTAATCTTTTTTCCTTTTATACCCGTTTCTCCAGCCGTTGGATCTCACAAGCTCGATATGAGCTGTCCGTTTTTTTTAAATCTCCTCCATCTGATCTCCTTCAGCGGTCTGATTTGGACCGTCTATTTTTCTGATTTCTTTTGTCCCTTTTTACTTCCCCCTTACTTATGTTTTCACCTTGCTTTTTCTTACATGCATTCATTTAAATTCTTAAAATTAAATAAAAATTCTCAAAATTATAAAATTTTTTCATTTAAATCTTAATTCTAATTTTATTGTTTTATTTTATATTTCTTTTGTTTTCTTTGAGTG